CTAGTCCTTTAGAGCCAGTATCTTGTGAATCAACTGGAAAAAATGAGTATCATAGAAGAATGATATAGGAAGTTTAAGAGACAAAAAGTAGAAAGAAAGAGAATATGTGGAAGAGCTACATAGAACGTGTGATTTCCCATATGACTTTAAAAAGTGGTCGCAGATAGATTTCAACAAGACACATTAAAGATTTCAATACTGTATGGCATCCAGCTTCAACATGATCTTCCTATTTCCCTGCACCTGCCTCATCTCCAACCCCCAGCATACACAACCCCAGCATACACAAGATGTCTCTTTATGCCACAGCTTTTCACCTGCAACTGCCATCTTACCTGGTTGTCAAAGCACATCTCTACGGAAAACTGGACTTTGTCAGCTATCACACCTCCACTGGGGAAAATGGCGTAGACCACCAAGAAAGGATTAGGGGCTAGTCTGGAACTGAAGGTCAGTGAGAGCGAGAAGGAGCCTTTCAGTCCTGAAAGAGAAGAGGGGACATACAGAGATGAGAGTGCACGCCCGCCTCCCATGGGGCCAGCTGCAGGCCTCAGGGTGTCAGGTGCTTCTCATTTTCTTATTTTTCTATGGCTATCATTAGCATTCTGTTCTCATTTTTTCTAGTATAAGAGCTGTTACCTGGAAGTTTCAAGTTTCATTTTCTCTCCCAAGAGAAGTGTGAACACTCACCTATCTCCTTAGAGTTCAGGTGTTGCTGCCCCGCCATCTCCAAACTCCCTTTCCCTATTAACTAAGGAAGAGAAAAAAATCATTAGTAGCACAGAAGTTGTGGGAGTTTAGCCTTGACACTAGTTCTGGAGCATCCCTGCATCTCCCCAAAGGAGAGGCTCCTGTCATAGGTCCAAGGCTGGGTCAGCGCTTCCTGGGGCGCCCTTCTGTTTGTCAAATGCCGGATGGTGCCAAGAGGCCTGCTGGCTCCACCTCCACTGGAGGTCTGCCCGAGGAGCACGGGGCAAGTGGGAGGAGACAAACGTCATCACTGCCTCAGGGCTGGATGGAACAGAAACCCATTCTTCACAGTAGATAGCTGTCCACCATTTCTCAATGATCTCCAGGTCTTATTCTCCTATAATCCTTGTAATCCTATTAATCCTATAATAAAGTTGGCTAAAATCCACCCTCACAACCATCTTTTAATTATCACCTAATTCAAAATTCAGTGGAAAAGGGTACACCTTAAACCATCTCAAGCCCTTAGGACATTTGACTCTGGAGGAGAAATCCCCTTTTCTAACTCTCCCTTCCTCTTCACTTTCACTTGAAACCATATTCAGTGAAACTNAAAACGGAGGTTTCCATGAGTCTCATTTCTCACTATCACCAAGGGACCAATAAATCTGCTTATCTTTATACATTTCCTTCAGGCTACAGGTGATGATTTATTTCCCCAACAAAGCTGCTCTCGCTGTTAATTGTAACCCTGTATCATCTAGTTAAAAACATTGACCAGTGAAACACGGAATGAAATTTTTCTAAGTCCCATCCCCACCTCACCCTCCTTCCTACACACCCACCCACCCAGCTCCCTGTCAGCCCTGACCAGCAACATTTTCTTGTTGATTGCTCATTTTACCTTTCCACACAATTTCCCTGGGCTCCTGTGCAAAAGCTTTTTTCCCTCATTGTCCCCCATCCTTTATACCTATATTGTGCAATACAGTAGCCACTGGCCACGTGTGACTACTGGAGCCCTTGAAGGGTGGCTAGTCCAAACTCCTTAAAGTATAAAATACACACTTTGAGCTGAAACAAAGAATGTAAAATATGTATTAAGTTTTATGTTGATTCACATTGAAACGAGCATGTGTCGGAAATACTGGGTAAAATAAAATATGTTTTAAAAATTAGTTTCACCTGTTCTTTTAATTGTTCTAATGTGGCTTCTAAAATTTTCAAAATTACCTATGTGACTTGCATTTTATCTCTGTCTAAATGGTCCATCCCCTCTCTGGGTCACATCCTCGTCCCTTCTCTCTCCTGACACAGTTTCACCCATCCTCATTTTCCAGGCTCACATAGTAGGTGAAGGTGACTTCCTGGTCAGAGTCCACATCAGCCGGATTGATGTAATAACCCACACGCACTTCCTGGGGCTGCCTACATTCCAAGACACCACTTGGCCAGTGAATGTCAACGAAGCTGTGAGTCGTGTTATAGAAGGGTTGCAGGTACAGGTAGGCATTTTGGTAGTAATGAGGCACTTGTTCTGGATCATACACCACATCTTTCATTTGGAATCTGCCCTGAGAAGAGAGAGAGAGAAAGGCCTTGTAACACTTGCTAACCCCAGGGTATTGTTATAATTTTCAAATAGATCTCTCTCAAATCTTTACTGCCTAAGAATGGCACATGGACATGTTACTAGAGGTCCAGCCAAGAATGTTTGAGGAAACCAGATGGTGGTAATGAACAGCAGCACTTTGTATGCAGAGGAGTGAAATAAGGGCTAATTATAGTTGTCAAGTAATGGGAGACTGTGGATGAAACACCTTCACACAGACTGGTGCAGAGGAGAGATCAGCATGACTAAGATCATACAGAAATTAAAAATACATTTCAGGGATAAGAAAACTAGGTATAGAGGATAAAAAGATTGAAAATAATTGTTTCTAAGCAGAGTGATGGAGCCTAACTGGGGTCCCATCAGATGACTTGATGTTGGGAATGGGATGTTAGCAAGGGTGAACTAAGTAGAGGCTTGGAAAAGCCCTCACATGTCTGCTTTTGCTCTTGCATCTCATCATTGCCCTAAGAATTTACCTGGACTAGCTTGCTGGAGCATGAGGCACAGAGGGGCACCAACCTAGAGCCAGCCGATCCACAGACATGTAAGGCAGTCCACCAAGATCAGCAGAGGTGCCTATCTGATGACCCCAAGTGCACAAGCAATAAATGCTTTTTGTTGTATAGTACCAAGGTTTTGTAGCTGTTTGTTAAGCAGCATTCTGTGGCTGTTGATAACTGATACAAGTAGCCCTCCCTATAAGTTAACCAAAATCTAGAATTCTCTGCCATTTTTAGGAGTCATCAGAGCAAAGGGGAATAGGACTATGACTAAACCATTTTTTCTTCCTTACTCTGATTTCAAATATAGGATCAGATAAAAATGGGAATGAGTTATAAGGTGAATTAGTAGAAATAGTAATTTTGATCTGAAAACAAACAGAATCTAAGTTTTAGCCAACTGGTAAAGCAGGACTAGTGAGTGAGGGAGAGAGTATTGCAAATGGGGAAGGCCGAGCTGAGGAGAATCAGGAAAATTTTGAAGATTTCCTGCAGGGAAACCTTCCTTGCTGGAAAGCTGGTCCTCCCTAGTGCTCACCTCCAGCGAAACGCCTGCCCCATTCCAGCTAACTGTGTCCAGCGTGAAGGGAGCAAGGCCATTGTTGTCAGTAGTCAGGCTCTGGTTGCTGATGGTTCCATTTGCACCATAAATCACCAGAAACACTCTGTGATTCTTAAGGAGGGAGCCATCATAGCCACTTACTCTTATCTGAGGGGTGAAGGTCATAAGAGCATTAGAGTTAGTTTGGGGGTAGGTTTGAGAAGGAGGTAAAGTGGGGATGTAATAGAAATTCTAAGAATTTCATTTCAGGAAAGAGCCCAGAAAAAGCTACCATGTTGCTAAGGAAGCTTTAGGTCCTTCATTTGTACAGGTCCCTTCCAAAGCTTTGTATGTCATTTTGCCTTAATATTCTGAAAAAGAGTCCTCCTCTACTCCCCAGTTGTATAATCCTTAGACTTTAAGACAATCTGGATCTACTCTTGGTCTAGAGAAAAGATGACTAAGGAACAAATGCATATAAACATGTACAACATTATTGTGTTGACCAATTGTCTGGGAAGTGAAGAAAGATAAACTGGAGGGAGGACGGGCTGTTTGTTGGGTATCAGAAAGAAGATACTGACAAAGGGCACTTTGAAATCTCTAAGGAAAATGCTTGTGGAGCTATAAATGGCTCTCTGTCAAGGGAAGTTTGATTTATCTTGCCTAAATGCAGGAGAACAGCTAGATGGTTTCTGTAGATAACTTGCAGGTCTAAAATTCAAAGATTCTAATATTAGGATATGAGCCTTGGGCATTAGAGAAGGCACTGAAGTCACATTAATATTTAAGGAGCATCTCGTGGGACTAAGGGTGCACAGCGTAAGCAATTAAGAGTATATGCTCTAGATGCAGGCTGCCTGGGTTTGAGCATAGTTACCACTTGTGATCTGTGTAACACTGGCAAAATCACTTACTCTGCCTCACTCATCTGAAAAATGAGGCCAACAACAGTGTCTATTTCATGGAATTGTTGTAAAGATTAAATAAGCGAATACATGTAAAGTACTTGGAGCAACACTAAACTAGATATTCTTATATATCTACAGAAAGTGAATAGTTAAGCATTTTATCTGTGTGGAGACAAGTTTCAACATACCTTGCCAGTGAAGGGGAAGTTGGGGTAATAAAAATTATTGGTGTCTTCAAATATCATTGATCCGATTTGTGAAGAAATGTAGATTTCCTGAGTGGTACTGGCCTCCACTCCTGTAGAGGGAAACCAGATGCATGACAATCTAAATACCTGGTATCCTTATCTTTGTATTTAACAAAAATCCCAAA